CTCCACGATAGAAATAATAATCCAACCGCCAGTGAGGCTTTTTGGGCTGACGCACTTTACACCAGTACAAATTGAAACTGTCCAGGAGATAATCACTAGTCTGAGTTCCTCCACATGCAGCCTGGATGTATTACCTCCTAGATTTCTCAAGTCAGTTCTGAGCAGTCTTTTACCTTCACTTACACAAATAGTTAATATGTCTCTTGAATCTGGAACATTCCCAATGGCCTTGAAAACGGCGGTCATCAGGCCCCTCCTAAAAAAGAGGAGTCTGGAAGCCCTGGCACTCAAAAATTATCGGCCCATTTCAAATCTGCCTTTCATGGGAAAAATTCTAGAAAAAGCTGCCTATCAACAACTTACAGAATTTTTATAATCAATAACGCTTATGATATGTTCCAGTCAGGGTTTAGACCCCACCACAGCACTGAGACCGCGCTAATAAAGGTAACAAATGACATCAAACTAAACACTGACGCAGGAAAAGTCTCAGTCCTTTTTCTGTTAGATTTAAGTGCTGCTTTTGACACTATTGATCATGGCATCCTCATTCAGAGACTTGAGGACTGGGTTGGTGTTGCTGGCACCGCCCTAAGCTGGTTTAGGTCCTATTTACAAGACAGAAAGTTTTTTGTGGAGATCGAAAACTGTACCTCAGACCACTTGGCCCTGACCTGCGGAGTGCCACAGGGGTCAATCCTGGGTCCTCTTCTGTTTAATATTTACATGTTGCCTCTAGGTCAGTTGATTCACAGTAATAATGTCTCTTATCACAATTACGCTGACGATACTCAGGTCTATGTGTCCCTGACAGCAGGAGAGCATGAACCAGTGGACTCGCTCCTTCACTGTGTCCAGCAAATCGGTGATTGGATGCAAAATAACTTTCTCCAACTAAACACCGACAAAACTGAAATAATTGTTTTCGGACCCCAGAAACAAAGAGAGAGCGTTATTTGTCACCTCCAGGCTCTCTCTCTACAACCCTCAAATCAGGTCAGAAATCTAGGAGTGATAATGGACTCAGACTTAAATTTCAAAAGCCACATAAAATCTGTAACATCAGCAGCTTATTACCACCTAAAAAACATTGCTAAAATTAAAAACATAGTGTCTAAGGCAGACTTGGAGACTCTTATACACGCTTTTGTCTCCAGTCGGTTAGACTATTGCAATGGCTTGTTCACAGGTCTCTCCAAACAGGCTGTAAAACAGCTGCAGTACATTCAACATGCAGCAGCTCGAGTCCTGACCAGAACTAGGAAGTACGACCACATTAGTCCAGTTCTCAGGTCTCTGCACTGGCTTCCTGTTCCTCAGAGAATAGACTTCAAAGCAGCTTTACTTGTGTACAAGTCTCTCCATGGTCTCGCGCCAAGGTACATCCACGACATGTTTGTGCCATATGAACCGACCCGGACTCTGAGGAGCACAGGGACTGGACTCCTGTTAGTGCCCAGAGTCGGTACTAGACATGGGCAAACTGCATTTCAGATTCATGCGGCTAGAGTCTGGAACCGTCTTCCTGAGAATGTGAGACAGGCGTCTACTCTGGCATCCTTTAAATCTAGGCTCAAAACAATTCTGTTTAGCTGCGCATATACAACTGAATGATTTTATCTTTTCATCTTTGTTTTTATCTTTAATCTTTTTAATGCACTGTGACTATTTATGATTTTAGTCCCATCTGTGATTTTAATGTTTAAAGGTTTTTAATTTTTGTGATTTTATTTTTAATGTTTTTAATATATCCTGTGCTCTTAATGTGTTTGATTTATGCATGATGTGATAGGGGATGTGAAGCGCTTTGCGTTGCCTTGTGTAGGAAAGGCGCTATACAAATAAACGTTGATTGATTGATTGATAGCAACATAATGTTTATTTCCCCTAACTCTAACCCTGCTTAATTTATCTGATGTGTTTTTGCGGTAGTGGAAACATGTCACCTTCGTCAGAGCGACACTTGATGGAGTGATGTGTCTTAAGTCAGAATCATAAAGAACAACACGGGGTGGATACTGCAGTTATGTCATTTAAGAGGACAAAGTAAAACCAAAATTGATTCTCGTTCAACTCAAATTCATTCTACACATACATTTGCAGCGTACATTATTCCTCACATGCCTCATGCATTTTGTTTCTTTATATAGAAACTCTACGTCTCAGATTTTGCTTCAGGCCTCTATACAAATGAACAGTTAATTTGCAAAAACAGACAAAGGGCTGTAGAAAAATATCAGAAAATCTTACAATTTGCTCAATACCGAATAGTTTTCCAGAAAGACAGATATATTTTAGTGCCATACAAATAGTTTCAACCCTTCTTGAACAAATTCTTTCACATTTACTGCCAATAACAAAACGTGTTGAAGATGCTACCCAGAAGAAAACCTAATTTTGACTAATTTCAAAACTGCGTATTCACTAGTCACCAGCAGATGGCGCTACTGGGACGTTTTCTCAGCGCTTCCGTCAAATCAGAGCCTTTCAATTGCTTGTATATCAATGCTTGTAACTCGCAATATGTTATAGTCAAAATGGGAACATCACGGTGATAAGATGGAGGATGGGACACTAATTGTTAATATTATAGTTCTGGGGTAAGTATAAGCTCTTATTTATTTAAGTGTTGGTTCATGTATAATCAATGTCGTTCCAAAGTTGCAAGTTACAGACAATATACTCTTTTCAACGTGTACCATAAGCTGCTTCAGACTGTAGAAATCCCTATTCATTTAACATATGTTGGACTAAGCTGGAAGTAGGTCGACCCTGTGGATTTACGATCTATTGGTTTCAGAGGTTAAACAGTGTTTTGTTTTCATATCAAGGCAATTAAATGTTATCAGCCTTTATGGACGTTGGTCTTCCGGCTTCCTCTCGACCAATGACTCCTATGTGTTGGATATTATTGTATTTCCTGTTTGATTCTCTGATCTGTCAGACTAGAATCAACAAAGTCCTCAGACGACTGCTGTTGAAACAAATTGAATTGAAGGATTTTATTGAAAAGGTCAAGATGGGAAAGTGCAAGTACTTTGTTTGTGTTAGCTGGAAGTAGGACATCTCATTTCAGGCAGCCGTTCGAGTCTGATGCATGGTTTTATCTGTCGACTCAATGAAAGCCAGAATATTGTCATCATGGATAGCACTCTCGCCTCTCAGCAAGAAGGTCCTGGGTTCTGATCCTGGTCAGGACAGGGCCTTTCTGAGTGGATTTTGTATGTTCGCTCCGTGTCTGCGTAGTTTCCTCCAGGTGCTCCGGTTTCCCCTACCACTAAAAACATGCACAATAGGTATGCATGTAATGAGTGAGTGAAGGGATGGAGAGGATTGTTAAAGGCTTCATCACTGTAATGGTTGAGCCTCTGATGGACCCTCTGCAGTTCGCTTACAGGTCGGCCCGGGGTGTGGATGATGCTAAAATTTTTATTGTAGACTCCATCCACAAACATCTGGAAACCCCAAATTCAATTGTCAGGCTCCTGTTCGCTGATTTTTCATCTGCTTTCAACACAATGCAGCCTCACATCCTTGCAGAGAAACTAACATCAAGTTTCCATCTGGACCATCAGCTCGTCTTGTGGATTATGAGCTTCCTCACAGGGAGAACTCAGAGAGTTAAAGTGAACAATATGATGTCCGATGTTCTGCGCACATCCACTGGCTCTCCACAGGGATGTGTCTTATCACCCCTTCTGTTCATCCTTTATACGGACAATTGTAGGTCAACTCAGCCAAACTGTTATTTGGTTAAGTTTGCTGATGACACGGTTCTCCTGTCCTTACTGTCTGCTCCCTCTCTGGGTCATGGTCCTGCTCTACAGGAGTTCATCTCATGGTGCAATGACTCCCACTTAGAGCTCAATATTAGTAAAACTAAGGACATGATTGTGACCTTTTCTAACAAGCAGAGACAGCTTGCAGAGGCTGAATCTTCTGCTATCAGGGGAGAGCGTGTAGAGGTGGTTCATGAGTATAAATATCTAGGGACCATCTTTGATGACATGCTCAAATTCTCCAGTAACACTGAGGAGCTCCTAAAAAAAAATGCCATCAGAGGCAATATCTTTTAAGGAAATTAAGGGAGTTTGATGTCAGTCCAAACATCATGATGACCTTCTACCATGCCTTTATTGAGAGTGTTCTTTCTTTTTCATGTGTTTGCTGGTTTTACTCTGTCACTGCACAAAGCAGGGCTCAGTTAAACAGAGTAGCAAATGTCTGCTCTAAGATCATTGGCCTGCCAATCAGATCCCTTCCTGCCCTGTGTGATCAGCAGGCCATGAGAGTGGCCTGTAGGATTCTGGGTGACCCTGCTCATGTTCTCTTCCCTGTGTTTGAGTGGCTGCCTTCAGGGAGGAGGCTGCGCTCGGTGGGATGTAGGACACAGAGGAGAAGGTCCACTTTTGTTCCAACAGTGATTCAGCTGCTGAACTCAGACCAGTCATTCCCCAGCGCAGTGTTAAAACGCTCCTAACATGAACTTATACAGGATGTGTGTGTGAATGTATTTATGTGGTTTTTATTGATGTTTTTAAGCATTTAACTTGCAACTCTCCGTGCTTTTTAATTGCCCCTCGGGGATAAATAAAGTGATTGATTGATTGATTGATTGATGGTGTTTGGTCGGAGGCTTTGATGGACCAGTGTGTTCGGTGTCTTGCTTCGATCATCACCGTGTAGAGAAAGGAACGATATCTGAACTCTGAACAAATGTAAAGCGCTTTGGGTGACCTTGGTCTGTAAATATTGAGCTATATAAATAGACATTACTTACTTACTCATGTACTTTCATTAAATTAATATTGACCAATTTGTGATGGGTTGAAAAGAGAATACATTACAGTAACTACATATTTGTGTAGAGATACTGCTAACACTGCCGTCATGGGTTTACTCAAACAAACATGCAGATTAATATTACTAATGTATGTATTCATATCTGAACTGTCCAGCAGTTACTGTCTGGTGCACATATGTTTAGTCAGTCCAGTCCTTCAGCCGCAACCTGTCCCTCCGGCAACCACAGACACCAGGCCGGGCCCACGACTCTCCTCCTCCTGGTCCAACACCACCGGCCTCGTCCCACTCTGCTGGTTCTGGTTCTGGTTGGGGTTGCTCTGGCTGCTCCACGACTTGCTCCTGCTCCGGCTCGGCTCTAGCGTCTTCCTTACACTGTTTCTGTTCGCCGATTCCTTAACCTTGAAGCAAACCCCGCACACCAACCCCAGGAAGGCCCTCCTCATCTCCCGACTGGCCAGAGTGTAGATCACAGGGTTCATGGCCGAATTGATCACCGCTACGGCGATAAACCAGTCGGCTTTGTACAGGATGGGGCACTTCCATCTCTGCGTACAGGCCACATCCACCAACAGCAAGACGAATATCGGAGTCCAGCAGGCGATAAAGACCCCCACGACGATGATGACGGTGCGAAGTAGCGACATAGCATGCTCTGAGTTGCTATGTTTGTTGACCTTGCGACTACTAGTCTTGACTAATATGTAAATCCTTGCGTATAGAACGGACATGGCTAGAATCAACACCATGAAAACCGTTATGCAGAAAGCTACATACTTCTTTGTGTACAGGGGTAGCACCGTGGAGCAATCTGGCAAGTTGTCCAAGCAGTTCCAACCCATGATCGGAAGAGTTCCAAGAGATATCGCGATCAACCAGCAAGCCCCGATGAGCAAGAATACTCTATAGTTTTTGTTAGCGTCGTACGGCCTCATTTTGATCATAGTCAAGTGTCTCTCGATCGCAATGGCCAGAAGACTGAAGATGGAAGCTCCCAGGGCTACGAACATGCTTCCCTCTCGGACGAACCAAAGGACGGGGGAGAGTTGGAGAGTCCTATCCCCAGAAAGGAGCAGGTTGACCAGGTAGGCCACGCCAGAGAGGAGGTCGCACAAAGCCAAGTTGCCGATGAAAAAGTACATGCGATTGTGGAAGCGGTGGTTTCTCCATATGGCCACCAGCACCGTGAGGTTCTCCAGGACGATGAAGCAGCACAGGACCAGGAAGATGACGGTCTGGATCTTCACGGTGCCAGCGCTGGTGCCGACGTTGGGCCGGTGGTTGAGCTTCCCGGTGTAGTTGTAGTGGAGGTAAATCTGAGGGTTGATCATGGTGAGAGAGACCGCTGGACGTCAGAGGCAGCAGACGGCTCGACTTGTGTGGAGAGCCAGCGTAAGTGACTACAAAGAAAATAAATGTGTTAGTGATACAGGAACTTATGGCTCTGGACCCAGATGTGGCTCTTTTGATGATTAAGTCTGGCTCTAAGACAACACACTCAGTATACAGATCATATTAAACAAAGTAAACATCATACGTATTTGCTGTAAAAAGAAAATGTAGATGGCTCCCAGAGAAATACATTTTGACTTTTTGGCTCTCTTAACTAAAAAGGTTCCAGATCTCTAAACACATGAATAAGGTGTATTCATGTGTTTAGTGTTGCGTTACTGTAAGGCCCATTTAAGTTGGTGTACACAACTTTTATATTTTACACACACAATTAATTCAATACAGTAGAGAAAAGTAGTGTGATATTTCTTTAAATAAGTATCTGTTTCCTTCCTAAATTTGCACTTCAGTTAAAGTGCAAACCAAACTACATGTTTCATTTGAGTTGAGTCTTATTTTCCTTCAATTTCTGTAATGTCTTTGAATAATATGAATCTCAATATATCACAAAATCAAATCACAAAACTTACTGTATCACAAAATGTTAAGAATTGCAATAATATTGAATTGTGAGTTGCCACATTTTTACCAAGTTGATCCGCTTTCAGACAGAAAAGTGAAAAGGAGAGAACCACCCTCATTCATCCAATCAGCTCTCAGCCCAAAGCATCAAATAGTGACTCACAGGGCTCTTTGTTTTTGCAGTTATTATACAAAAGATAATAAACTCTAATGAGGTCTGATTTTTTCACATATAGTTTTACAAGACCCTGGTGGGAAAACTAAAATGTATTCTTGGGACACAAAAAAGTATCCCAGCTTTAATTTCTGTCAAGTACTCTAGTTTACGGACTATTTTTTAAGATGAGGAAAAAGTGGGGAATTGTCAGTGTTGCATCAGTCACAGAACAGAAGGAATGAGGAGCACACGGCACAAGATACATGAATATCAACTTCAAGTGTAGCACAACTCTATACACAAATACAAATCTCTATCTTTGGTAGATTCAGATTCATACTACCTTAACTACCCCACCACCACCAGGGGCAATTCATTAACTACCCCACCACCACCAGGGGCAATTCATCTGAGCAGCATAGAGCATAAAAACACAGGAAATGTCAAAGAGTACACAACTATTAGAAAGTACACACATATAAGGTCTGTAGAGCAAAAAGATATATACTTGTATGTATACACCCGTCGATTAATCTATAACACACACACACACACACGCACGCAAGCACGCACACGCACACACATATATATTTTTCACTGATTAAACTACTGTATATACAACTATACATTTCTTACACTTGAATATACAGTATTTTCAACCTGCTTCTTTACTATACTAAAGCTAGACATTTTGTACTTGCTTCATTATTATGCGAATAGAGATTTTATTTTATTTCAGTATAGAGTTATTGCCTGCTCTGTAACTGCTGATGCAACACTGACATTTCCCCACAGTGGGACGAATACATTATCTCTTAATCTTAAAGTGTTAGCAGCACGAGGTTATTGATGCCTTATGTCTACTACTGTCTGCTCATGCTCAGCCTATAATAAAGCATGTTGTTACTGAATTATAAGACAAAAAGTTGAACAAAAGCCTAAATCTAAATACAATTCAGATCTTGGCACGTACTGTACTGATAAATAATAATGTGAAAAAGACTTACCGAGGGATTTGTGCCCTTTTGACCAAGTCCAAAATACAAAGCACGTGGGAAAGCGCACATTTCATATTAATTTATTTGCAGTATGTGAACATCCAGAGGTTGTGAGGTCGCGGAGCTCCGAGTCCGACAGTTCTCTCTCTGCTGCGGCTGCGGTGTGAGCGCGGAGGGGGCTGGAGGACCGGGACCACGCCTCCTCCCTGGACCCAGCCTCAGGCCTGTCTGTAGGGCTGCAGGAGGACCATGGGAAGTCTATGGTGTATTCTGTCTACAGTCTATGGTCCGTGATGCTTAACGATCTCTGTGGTCATTAGCGTCAATAGCGTCATTTGCGTCATTTGCCTTATTAGCGTCATTAGCGTCTATGGCACGTGGGGGCGTCAATACGGGAGTGAAAATATAGATAGATATAGATCAATTCAATTTGTATTTAGTATTTTTTTTTTTTAATTTTTAGCTCTTAATCACAACAGCAGTCGTGTCGGGGGACTTGGCAAAGTTGTATATTTGCCAACAATAGTTCAGAGAACAGCGACAGTGGCTCAGTTGGTAGAGCATTGGCCTTTGGGCCTGAAGGTCGTGGGTTCAAGCCCACCATAAGACCTACTTCACGACTCCCACTGATGACTGCTGTCGTTGTGTCCTTGGACAAGTCTCTCCATGGCCTCGCACCAAAATATATTAGTGACATGTTAGTCCCATATGAACCAGCCCGGACTCTGAGGAGCACAGGGACTGGACTCCTGTTAGTGCCCAGAGTCAGAACTAAACATGGGGAGGCTGCTTTTCAGATTCATGCTGCTAAAATCTGGAACAATCTTCCTGAAGATGTGAGACAGGCCTCCTCTCTGACAATGTTTAAAACCAGGTTAAAAACGGTGCTGTTTAGCTGTGCATACAACTGAGGGATTTTATATTTTTATCTTTCGTTTTAATGTTCTGTGATTATTTATGATTTTAATGCTATCTTGTTCAGCACTTTGAGTTGCCTTGTGTATGAATTGTGCTATACAAATAAACTTGCCTTGCCTAACCCCACTTTGCCTGAAGCTCCCACTGAAAGATCTCAGCTCCTGTGGACTCACCACCTGCAGGAGGATCAGTGAGGGGCTGGTGCTAAGTGTACTGGGTGCAGCTCTGACTGCCACCCCCCCCCGACCCAGAAATGGATTAAGGGGAAGAAAATGGATGGATGGATAGTTCAGAGAATAATAACTGGATAGGATATTACTAGCTTATAGCTGTCGCACCTATGGGCACAGGGGGCGCCCGTGGTACTGCAAACTAAATTCACTTGGGCTACCCAGAAAAAAGTCCCATAGAACTCAATGTAAATTAAAACAGCACGGCCTCAGCTGACAGAGAACCTACAGCTTTCAAAAAGATCGGATTTTGTGTCCCTTCTCATCCTGAACTTTTTTTCTTCTTAAATCCTTGATTTGAACGGGTTGCTGTGTCGATGGCATGAAGGCCCCAGTACATTTTAGGGATGACCTGTGGCCTTGGCGGGGTATGCGCTCTCCGAGGACACCAGAGAGTGAAAAGTCAGATGACGGCGCCCACACGAGCTCATCATTTATTATGATTTGAAAAGGGTTGAGATGGCGAATGGTGCAGGTCATTCTTTTGTTCTGCGGTGATCTCAGGAAGGATGGGAAGGGCTGACTCAGCGACAGACCCAGTGGTTCATTTTTAAATAGATGTAAGAAATGCACCGATATTGGTCAAATTGGATTGGGTATCGGTTCTACGATGTTGCTTAGCTCATATCCTGAAATGCCCCCTTCAATTGGTACATAATGTTATAATACTTGTATTTCAATTATATTTATTTTTGTCTGTACTGTAGGTGAGGAAGTCCAGGCCTCTGCTGCTTTGACAAAGAAGCGGTTCTGTCCAAATGAGGAGGAGCATAAGTTCACATAACAGTCTTCTCTAGATTTGACTCTGTTATGGCCAATTCTATTCATTAAAGTAGCAATATGTTGGATTTTCATGTCAAATCATCATTAATCTGTCAAAAGGCATTAACTGATACAGTATCTGGCAACCTGAGTCAGGGAGAGTGAGAGAGGCCTTTAATCATTCTATTACATTTAAACTCAAATGTTCATAATTTAGATTTCTCAATAATGTGGCAATGAATTTGGGGCCCGAGTTGACATCTCAAACCTGTTGTCTCTCTACTGTTCACATAAACTCACAAAGAAGTAGGAATGTAGAGCTGTGTCTGAACCCATTCTGACTCTGACAAAACACTTACGTTGGAGGCATCGCTATTAGCTGCAGTTAAAAGAAATACTGTAAAATAACTCTACATTTCTTGAGCCCTGTTACCACCAGCCTGACTTGGCCCCACCCCACTCTACCCCGATTGGGATGGTTTCAACTGACCCTGTTTGATAATGATAACAATAATAATAATGCATCGTTTTTATAGAGCGCTTTTTTGGGCTTTCAAAGATGCTTCACATGTCATTATTCATTCACTCCATAGACAGTGGTGATTAGCAACTAATTTGGCCACAGCTGCCCTGGGGCACGCTGACAGAAGTGAGGCAACCAATATGTGGCATTGGCCCCTCCCACTCCCAACAACCCTTCACACACACACACTCGACTCATTCTAATGTGAGTGAAGTGTCTTGCCTATGGACTTTACAGCACACTGTGGCACCTGGTGTTTCCAGAGGCCTCCCATCACAGTACTAACCAGGCCCTGCTCTGCTTAGCTTCAGAGGTCTGCCAGGATCTGGCTTCACATACAGGTGTGGTTAAAAAACAATTTACTCAGTACCAGGCAAATATTTAGAAGCTACCGAGCCAGTACTAAAGTGTTTTGACTGAAAGTGATTGACCAGAGTTCAGCTGGAAGCCATGGTTACCAAGGAATTTCGGGTAGAGAAGAGTAGGGACCAGTAGGGGTTGGTGGAAACAGGGCTTTACTGTGGCTGTATACAGCAGTGGTCTGGCATAGGACCATTGATTGTCACTGACACAATTCCTATTCTTTTTTTGGTCAAAGTTTGCCAAAAACAGTCTTCGTCTGTGGAGAAAGTAACACACATTGTGGACTCGTAGAAAGCTGGGCCCAGTCCACATGAAGGCAGCTGGGAGAAAAGGGGGAGGAGGAGGTTGACCATGGTCGGAAAAACGACAGTGATGTGGAACTAGCATCTGCATAAACTTGGGCCGAAAGTGAAAGAGTCAGCAAGTCCAAACCTATAATGTGTGGTCGGAGAGGCCGGGTGTATTC